TCTGTTTCTTAGAATAGTTTTGCAGATGGGCTACTTTCAGCTGTGAGCATCAACAGGGAAGAAGTAGGAATTAATTTGATGCTTCCACCTCTTGCCTAGGCACTGAAAGGGATAGTGTTCTGAAAACTGGTGCAATTTTAAAGATCAGATCCTGTAAAACATTGTGATTCCTAACCAAAAATGTGCCTTCTGGAACTGCTTATTTAGTGTGGAGTTGCACTGTAGACTTTCCCATTCTTTTGTCTGGGCTTCATTGAGTATTTGCCAGATGCAGTGACCAGTAAAACTGGGAAAGATCTGAGTTTTGCAAGAGGCCTTCTATAACAGAGGCAGCAGGTACAGACAGTTGTTTCTCAGATCCTGTGGAGCCATATGGTGAGAAAGGTGTTGTCCTTCCCATTTCCTCAATTACTAGTTTGATCTAGCTGTATGGAAGACAGAGTTTTGGCTCTGTGTTGGAATGGGATTATGTGATGCTCAGAAAAAATAAGATCTTGTTTAATGTCGTAGATACTTTTAACTCCTTCCTATTCATCTGTGTATTAGTCCTAGCAGGGCCCCAGAGGCTGTAGCCACAAGAATGACATTTGGATCAACACTACTAATGTGTAGCGTATACCCAGCTAAGTGGGATGTAACAACCACTGAACAGGTCATCCCAGAATACCAGGAGCTATTTCCATCATATCAGTATAGCAGGTCACTGTTAAATACCTGCTTTTTTCTTTCTGAATCTACCTATTTGCATCATTATAACTGTAATACATAATGGAAAAGAAAGAGGCTCACTCTCAGTTGCTGATAACTGATAGAGATTTATTGACCTTGTGATTGATAGCAGACCTGTGCCTAAGAGTCTGGTTTGAGCAGATGTCACAAACTCTCTCTGAATGTCCCTTCAGCATACAGATTGCAGTTGCCCTCCCCCTGCCCTCCACAAACAAGGCTGTCCATGACAGGCTGCTTTTCATTGGTGCCTATAACAAAAATGTACTGTACTCATACTGGAAAGTATTCACTATTTGCATATGGAGCTTTAATTGCTTTTGCTTTTTTGTTATTAATTCAAGCCTCCAATAAAAGCACTAAGTGTGAATCCACTGCTCCCTTGATTGCAAAGAGTAATTAATTGGTCAGATCTATTTTCTTTTTGTTGTCCTGTGGACTGAGAAATGATGATGTGCAATGGGGAGGACATTCCTGCTACAGATAGTATTTCTGCAAATCCTGCAAAGCATAGCTAATGATCTGTGGAGTACCATCCAATATTCAGTGAGCAGGCTGCCTGCCTGCTCTGTCATCCCCCACACCATGTGCATACATATGCATTTGTGTTCTGTATTTTATGGTGTGATCAAAACCAGTCTTTGGTTAATCTTTTAGTAACTCCTATTTGTTATTGTTCTTACTGGCAGCAGTAACATTTGCAATTTCAGTCTGTGGCAAGAAGCACATTTCCTTTCTTAAAGGAAATCTGAAATAATTTAGAGGCCACAGAAAAGGGCGGCTTGCAATTCGCATTGCTGCAGTCTTGCAAACAGGCTACAAGACAGATGCTGATTTATTTAAAATCAAACAAACAAAAAAAAAGAGGCTTGTGTTTTTTCTTTCCAGATATACAAACTTAAGGAATGTATTCAAGCATCTGGCTAATTCACATACCATTAATTCTCTAAAGAATACATATGCACACCAAATTAGACCTGTATCATTTATTTAAAAAACGAATGTACTTTTGTATTTATATTTTATAGCTGTGCCAAATTGCTAAAGGACATAGAAGGAGGAATTTTATAAGCAAAATGTGCAGAGCCCTTTGCCTAGAAAAGTTGACAGTATCAGCAAGGCTGTACCTGAGCTTAGTTTAAAAACCATTGACATACTATTTTGCTATTAGTGAATGGGTTAGTGGCTTTTTAACTACAGGAATGAATGCTTGTTAGAAACTGAGATGCGGCCTGTCTTTGTACTGGAGCTAGCAAAGTGGGCACTGATCCTGATGTCTGAGGTCCTACGGTATTGCAGTAATATAACTACTCTTCCTTTTGTATCTGTTTTGTTGGCTGCAGTGAGTTCCTGCCAGCTGTTTCTTGAGGTTTCTTGAGGTTTCTTGAGGTTTTAATAGTCTAAAACAACTATAAGGATGTGACTCCAAAGGCTGAGAGCCTGATGCTGATGGCATGTCTCCTCTCACTCTTGTATGGCTCTCGACCAGCTTAGCTATGAGGCCAGTACCAGTCAGAAGAATAATTTAGATCTTGGCAAGAGGCAGATTATCATAGCCTTTTTCAGCGGATGTGTGTGGGATGGGCAAAACTAATCTGTGCCCTGACCACCTTGTTCATCTCTCTGGTACTTGAGTGCTAAAGACACTCAAATCCTTAGAGTCAATGACACTCTTGTCTTATTCTTAGCAGCAAATTCCTGTGAGGTCTGCTAACCAGCAGTAGAGACAGTGGTTAGTAGTCGCCTGCCTTATGTCAGGCTTTGCTGGAGTAAAGTTGCCATGGAGATCGGCAGGAGTTTAACTGAGCAGGGACCACAGCAGTTCGCCCTGTGCGTGTAAATCTGTTTGACATGTCATGTGTATCAGATTTGGCTCTGCTGCTCACATTTGAAGTCCACTAGCTTTTTGTGCCCAATTTCCCTGTAGGAGAGCTGAACAACTGCCATGCAGTATTCATAGCACTGTGATATTAAAAAAAGGCGGAATTGGGATTGGTGCCTGCTCCTCCAGAGCCAATATAAAAGCAAATTGGGGCACCAAAGGATGTTTAGCGCAAGTAACTAAGCCCTGTAAAGTAGAAGGAACTACCCCAAGCTGGAGCCTTTCTTAGGACAGTAGTAAAGGTATTGGCTGTCTGAAAAAGAGAATTGTTTAGAGGCAGAAACAGAAGTCCTATAACTTGGGAGATGTTGGAAGGAGCAATCTTTCCAACTCATTTTAGAACTTGTAAAGCAGATTAAAATATGGGGAAGATTGCTGAATATAAATGTCTGCTTTACACTTGTAAAGGGTCCATGTGCTCAGAAACATTGCTGGGAAAAGATCAATTAAAATGCTTGGGACTGACAAAGGCTTTAAGGCTGTTGAGGTAAATGGTGACTCATATTGGCTGAGAAGTAGGAATGAAAAAACACTTAATGACCTACACCCCAAGCTGTACTCTGGAAAGAGGCTTCCCAAGGAGTCGAGAGTCGACCTGCTGGCACTGGGATTTTAGCCAATGCCTGCTGATCTACAGCCTCCAAAGGTGAAGAGCCAAAGTATTTTTCAGTGATTTAGCAGCACGCCTGCTGCATTTACAATGCATGTATGTTTGCAGGGTGTTATAGAGAGAAACTTGACATATTTCTAATTTTAGAATAAGAGAAAACAGCCATCTGGTGAAAATATTTTGAAGGAGGGGTTAAAAATTTGGAAGCCTTGAAGCAGGAAGGGGGGGGGGAAAGGGCAAATACAGAGATGTATCTTTGAACACCACTTTCTCCAGCAGAAACTATGGAGCCCTCCAGAATATGCTGCCTGGACTGTGGCGTCAATTTGAGAGGGGAACAAGGCTTCTGCTATGCTTATCCTAAGGAAAAAACTCTGGTTCTTTCAGAAGAAGCTAAAGCTTGTGCATCTCAAAGACCAGTGTGAGCCTGTTGTATTAATGGAAAAAGGCCTGATCACATGCATCAAAAGCATCTTCCCCCTCTTCCTCCTCCCTGCTATCTCCTGTACCACTCTTAACAATTTAATCCATAGCAGTTTGTCTTCATGGGTTTTAATTGATCTGTCTGTGATTTAGCTCATCAGATGCTCATTAAAGAGCTTGCAGCCATTTTTATTCATGAGGAGTGAGAGTCAGGGATCTAAAAACACTTTGTCTTTGTCTTAACTGGATTCATTTAGTATTCTGGGATTCAGGGAGGCTAATAAACTAATACGAGCTATTATTTAAAGGTGAGCTGCCAAGTGAACATGAAGGATGATCCAAGCACCGCCAGTGTGCTGAGCGCTCTCCAGCAGCGGGTGTCAGGTGGGAGCAGCAGAGGGAATCATTGCTAAAACCTCAGCAAGATATTCCTCGCTGCTCTGTGGCGGGTGTCCCACAACGCCCTGCCTGTGTGATCGGGGAATGCAACTTGCAGTGGAGCTCCTGGAGCTGTGTCTGCAATGAAGATGGCATTTCATGCTAGGGATGCCAGCAGGATGCACAGAAATATTTTGTACGTTGTAGAGTTTGTGCTTGACATCTGGTTTTCTTTATTAAGCGCCGCTGTTGTTCCGAGTTGCCGTCTGTACTCTGGCAGTGCCCATAATGATGTGTGCTTCCCACGTTGCTGGCGCACACATGCTGAGAAAATGCCTCTCGCCATCCTTTAACAAGGATACGCTGACAATCTGCAAAAGAGAACAATACCCCTGGGCTGCAGAAAGCAGTTTCCTTTCCCCAGTACTTTAATGAACGCTTGAGGTATTTCTAGGCCGTAGGAAGAAGAGGTGGGATAGATGGTTCTCCATTCTGCTCCTTTTTGAGCCTGGCTCTGCATGCCAGACACTTCCAAAAAGATGAATAATTCCCTACAATTATTGTATTTACTGTGTAGTCATAGGCATAGTGTCATCAAGTTGCTTATGCCTTGGAGTTCTCTTAAGTGACTGTAATCACAAGTGGGCTTTTATGTTGTCTGTGGTTTTTTAAGGGAGGGAACATATGCAGCTGGATCCTGTGCCTGCGCCGAATGTACTGACATTGCTTGTGAACCATGGGAAGCTGTGAGGCTTCCCAGACAAAGCCCTGCATGAGGGATCTGAACCCTGGCAGGACACGGTGCCATTTACATGAACTGACTTCCCAGTCACTGTGTGTATCAGGATTGGGAAAGCTTTGGGAATATAAAGCTTTCCTAACTGCTCAGAGTCACAGTATTTATAAATACTCTAAGCTTGTGTTTATAATTGTATGTTATTCTGTGCAAATATTAATACCATATTTGTTCTTTCTTTGTAGTGTACAGAGGCCAAAAAGCATTGCTGGTACTTTGAAGGATTATATCCTACATATTATATGTAAGTAGTCATCACTTTCCTTGTTCAAGAGAGAGTTAGATTCTGTAGGCTCTTAGACTGTTGTTCTTTTACTAATTGTACTTCTTCCATAACTTTTTTGAGACTTCTATAATAAAAATGAAGATGCAATAAACTTCCATTTCCCTCCTTCTCTATGACCCATCTCTTTCCCTTTCTCCTTATTAAAAGAAGCGTACAGATTCATTTTACCACACACCCCAGGTGACCTTTCCAATTGAAAACAAAACTCAGGTCCTTAAACAGCTCTTATTTCAGAACATTGAAAGGAAACAGAAGTAGAGCTGTGTGAGGACAGTTCTCCCTTTGTTAGGAACAAGGACAGGTAATCAGACAGAATACCAAGAATGCTTTGAAAGTAACTTTGTTCCTCTGCTAGTGCTGTTGTTTAATTTAGGGAGTTGAGATGATTTGTTATCCGTGGCATAACTGTCCTTTTGATGAGTGACGTCTACATTCACATAAGGCTTGGTTGTGAACCAAATGTAAATGACCTGTGGGTGTATAATTGAGGATCTCTCTAAACTGCAGTTTTCTGTTTCATATTGCCCACAGCAGAACAAAAAGGTGGGGGAAATATGTGGGTGGGAGATACACTCCATGTGGATTTGGGGGCAGAAAGGAGATAAATGTAGTAAATTTTGTCCCCGGGTTGTATAACTTTATAATTGCAAACACTTGTAAACACAGGTTTAAAAAAATAAAAACAAAATGGGGTGGAAGAGTAGGCAGCAGCATTAGGTTATCTGTTCCCTGAGCAAGCTCTTCCTTGCTGAAGGATTGGAAAATACTGTAATCCTTATGCTACCCAAGAACTTTCCTCCCTTTTCTTCTCCACCTCCACTTCATCTGCCAGAAGCGGGAGAGAAATGCTAGAGACAAAAAGCAGTGAGGAAGCTAGGCAAGAAACAGAGCTCACTGAAAGAATGAAACACTGTATGACTTAATCATCCATAATCCTGGATATTAACTGCTTAGGAAGTGTTTGTGCCTAGAACTCACTGTATTTTTTTCAGGTGACTGAAATGTTGAGAATTACTCATAAATGATTGGCCAGAACAGATGGGGGAATTTAAATAAGAGAATTTTCTTTGCATGCTAATAACAACAGGACTTTGGTTCCACCTACATTTTATTTTGTTTTGCTGCTATGTGGGAAAGAAGCTGGAATGTTATGAAATTATGAAAATCCCAGTGTACCTTAACATTCAGGAGTGTGTTATTCATCGTCACCTTGGTGTTCTTCTTATGTTTCTGCCCACATGCTTTCACAGCCAGTGTTTGTCTCCCTTGGCAATGCTTAGATATTGGGTGTTAGTTCAGACCATTTGTGCCCCAGGTAAATACATACAGAGTTGTGCAAAAGGAAGGGGTTCAAAAAAAGTCCTGTTGTATATTGGCAATGTCAGGTCAATCAGAAGACTGTTCTTGTGTGTTTTTGTGGTAGTTAGTGCAGCACCATGTTGTCTGAATCACTGCATAAAAGTGTTGTGATTTCCAGTCTCCTGCACAGTGTAAGTAAATGGAAAAAGGAAGGGGAAAGGGGTGGGATGTGTGTGCTAGGTGATTGTTTAGATGGTGATGAGTGTCATGTTAATGCTGTTGTTGTTGTAAATATGAGTTTAAGGGGAAAGAAGAAACACTAAGGAAGGACAATAATGATTTGGGTATGGTAAAGCTGAGAGGATAGATAATGTATGACAAGTGAAGAAATTTGGAAAGGAGGGGAGAGAGGGTATTTGAGGACATTGGAGCCCAGTAGGTTTAAAGGGGGCATGATCAAAACAATAGGAAGGTCATTTAGATCTTCAATGCCTGGGGTTTCCTACTTTGTTACTTATGCAATTTCAATTTCTGTTGTCTAGGATCCCCAACTGCTTCCTACCTGGGCTGTCTTTTCACACCTGTATGGTGGAGGAGAGGCGCAACACCAATCTCAATATCTTAGGGTGAAGCCCCATTGCTTCAGCAGTTGTTTGACCCTTCACTGAGTTAATTCAATTTGCTAATCCCACAGAAAGTTGCTCATTTTAGCACATTCTAGTCAGTGTTGAATCAGCATGGTATAGTTTTTGGCAAACACTGGTGAAATGGGAGGAAGGGAGCATTCTGCATATTATGGGGGAGGAGGCATGAATAGCTTTGTCTTCATTAGCATATGGGTTATGTGTTAAATCATCTGGAGGCATAATATGTAACTTTATCCTGAGAGTGCCTCCCCTGTGCGAATCTAGATCTGGAATGTGCTGTAGTGAAATGGGTTTTATTTTATCTTACACTTTCTGTAGCAACAGTCCATAAGAAGCAGATATATTTAGTTAAATGATTTTGCACTAGATTCCATTCCTTTCTGTCACTGGTTTTCTGATAGAACTTTTTATCTACCCAGTTAACATATGTAGTCTTTCCTTTGGTCTTGAGACTATTTTTGAAGCCTTACGAAACCCAGCAACCCTTTTTAATAATTTCCCAGTGATTTCAGTCCAACGCTGGCACTATGTAACATCTCTCGTGAAGATAGTTTGTATTATAATGAAAAAGTTGGCACATCAGCTCAGAAATGCCAAATCCTCTGTCAATTCACAAATGTAGTGTGGAGTGCTGGGACTGAGGTATACCTGGACTGGCATGTCTACGTGCCTTATCACTTCTGGGTAGGCACATCCTCCTAGAAGCTGCCTCTTTTTAAATTACCCAGAGTAATAGAAATCCAGTGGACCATCACATAAAATGGTTGTTTGCTTTTATCAGAAGTTTAAAGGCAAGATAGCTGAGTTAATCTTTCCTGTAAAGGCTCTGCTTGAGCCATCCAAAGACAGAGATAAGAATGTGTCTGCTAAGCAAGAGGAACATGGGATAAGAAATCAGTGTGCCAAAATAAGTGTTCTGGAAATTCAGCTAGATTTGAGGGGAGGGAGGTAAAAGTTGCAGTGTTATGACTGTTCTTTCAGAGCTTAAGTTTGGTTTTTTTTTTTAGTTTTTTTATTCAATCTGTCTATCAGTGTAATTATTTAAAGAAGAAAAATCTGTTAGAGATGTTGCTCAAAACTTTCTTAAAACACGTTGGTTATGCTTTCTGTCTTAACAGCTAGGGCAGTGGTTGAAGATCGCAGTTACAGAACTGATACATCTTTCTGTCCAAATATTTAATAGTATTAATACATTTTAAAAATTATTTTTCAACTGGACATAGTTGTTCTATCCTTCATATGTCATCAGTAAGCTTTAGTTTAATTCAAACATACTTCTTCCAAGTAGAATTCCATTTCTTAAGACTCGATTGAGGATTTGATAATTTTCCAAACTTTTCTTCCTCTCCTGTGTTATTCAGGTTATTCAGAACCAGAAATGAACATGGAAAGCTTACTAGGAATCTGAGAGTCATACATTAGTCTTATACTGTTAATACAGAGAATTTCCAAGACTGCTCATAACTTACTTCACTAACTAAAGTAATCATTTCTCCATATCCTAGTTCCCCAAGTTAGAACTGTTGCCAGTTAGATACTTTTCTCCTGCTTCAGCAAAATGTTTATTATATGGCCTGGAAAAATAAATAAAAAAATATAAGGAGGATAAAGGAATTAGCTATTGGAGTCTAATTCTTATCCTTTGGAAAAGCAGGGACCTGACTTATTCCTGACTTTGCTTAAAGAATTAGATCGTATATCTCCTTGTGTGGATGTAGAGAAAGCAATTCACAAAGCTGCCTCAAAAGACTTGACTCTGATGCTCTACAAGGATCCTCATCCTACTATCACTTAAGTAAGCCAGCTCAGCCTTGTTCTGGATGTGTTGATGGTTGGCAGAAGAAATGGTCAAGGTACTTCTCTTTCATGACAATAATCTGAATAGTAACATAGTGAATGCATTAAATTGCAAAACCACCTCTTCTGTATGCAGATGCCAGCAGAGCTTAAGATACTCCAGATGTTTTTTTCAGTTCTGAACTGGGAATGAATAGGAGAGGGAAGGCTGCCTTACATTTTGCTGATGAGTAGTTTGACTAGAATGACTGTGAATGTCCCCCTCATTGCAGGGTGAAGTATGTTCCCTGGTATGACTGATCAATCCCATAGGTCTCTTCTGTTTATTTTTCCTTCAGTTGAGTCAGAATCACAGGATATTCTGAGTTGGAAGGGACCCACAAGGATCATCGAGTTCAACTCTTAAGTGAATGCCAGTTGTTAGCTGCCATCACATTGGGGCTTTTAATGAGGTAATGAATTCCAGATGCTAGAACCTGTGTGTTTCTAATCCTCTCCTTGCCAGGCATTATGGCATGTTTATAAGGTAGCACAAATTTTTTGGAGTATGAATGATAAGCATGGGTCCACAGCAATAGAAATATCATGGCTGATGTCACTGGGTCAGTGAAGTAGTCGCCCACAGGGTGACTGACTTAGAGTTTTGATATTACCTAGTGTTGAGTTAACATCATCTCAGCTCATCCTGTTGGATTATTGTGTATTATGCTTTTAAAAAATGTGATATTCTAAGAGAAGTAGTGAGGAAAACAGATTAGAAGATTAGGAAGCAGAATAACTCAGGTGGGAAGGTTCTCGGGAGACATTGAGTCCGACAACCTGCTCAGTGCAGGGTCAGCCATGAGGTCAGACCAGGTGGCTTAGGACTTTACCTAGTTAGGTCTTGAGAACTCCAAGGAAGAAGATGGCACAACCTCTCTGTGCAATGTGCTCTGCTGCCTAGCTCTCCTCTTGGTGGATAAGTTTCTTCACATACCTCAGCTGAACAAGCCCAAGTCCCTCACTCTCTCCTCACAGGGCAAATACCACAGCCCCTGTCTATCTTGGTGGCCTTTTGCTGAGCTCGTTCCAGTTTTATTCTTCTTACTGGAGATGCCAAAACAAAATGTGGTGTTTTACATATGGTCCAACAAGTGCTCGCAAAAGATAATAGTTACTTCCCTTGATCCACTGGCTAGGCTTCTGTTGACACAGCCCAGGATGCTGGCTCATGGT